ATAAAAAAATTAGGGAGCGTAAAGCGGCCATAAATACTGGAAAGAAAGATGTCCTCAGCACATTTTTTCACGACTCAAGGAATGGTAGCACACCACTCATCTGAAAAGCCTGGCAGAAAGGCAACTGGTGAGGTAATTATAAAAGCAAATAACAGATTCAACAGCTTCTCTGGAGGAGATCAGATAACGCTTGTACTGTGCGAAGAGGGAAAGAGAGGTGAAAAAGTAGGGGAGAGCAGGAGAGGTGATGGAGAGGAGACAAAGAAATACTGCGAGAGGTGAGGTGGGTCAGGTGGGAAAAGACGTGGGAAATGGGATGAGAAAATTAGAGAAGCCCAGAGTGCCCAGCTCAGGTGGCACACAGAGAGGCACGACGATCACACCGAGGGGGATAAAGGCCCAAGAGCGGGGTGAATCGGCTCAGTTTGTTCTCGCCCTGTGACTAGTTACGCTGGCAAGCCTTTAGGCCAACGCAAATGCTAACTTCCATGTTCCCTTTTCACCACACAGGTAGGAAGTGTTTCTTCTGCTACTGCTGCCAAATGAAATTACACCGTTCCTACTACTTTTAAACACCTCAGATCTAAAAACTACCTTCATTTCACAGCAGTGGCTGAGAAAGCTCTATTACCATTTGTCAACTGAAGATTCCACTGACAGTACTTAAGCTAAACAGTGTAAAAAAAAAAAAACAGGGGGGGTGGGGTGGTGGCATGAAAAAAATAGGATTTAAGTAAAAGGACCAGTCCCCTTTGGTTCCAAATTTTATTTATGACAGTGAATATTTATGGAAGAACAAAAAAAGCCAGTCTACTTACCGGTCTAAAGCAAGTCCCCTTTAGTAAGGGACTAAACCCAACCTGGGAATAAAAAAGGTCTGGAGGAATTAGCCTATAGTTTACCGAAGGCTTGGCTGCATCCACTTCACAGGGACTTGCTGTTCCCTTCCACACTTCCAGCCACCTCTCGATGGTGAGCACCGTGTTGTGAGGCAACAACCAGATCTGCGCTTCAAATTTGTCTGGATCTACCTATTTCACAGGTAATTAAGCATCACCAGCACTTCCCTTATTTCCCATTCTCCCAAGCCGAGCCATTCGCATCTGCAGCAACTGCAGATCTATAAATCGTCTTCAGAGCTCAAATAAGTGTATTTATTCGAAGCTAAATAACCAAACAGATTTCAAAACTAAATATAACTCTTTAAAACCTCACAACAAACAACTTTACAGTTGAAGTTACAATGCTTTCAGTTATAATGCACACTAATGAAATTAGAATGCATTAAATAATAATCCGTTATAATGACACTGTAACGCACTAAATAATTCTAACCCAAGGGGGCCTGATCCTGCAATGGAAAATGTGCAGGCAAACTGTCCCTGACAGAGTGGTGAAGAAAATGAGGCAGCCCCTCCACATACCCTACTATTATCCAAAGCCTGACCACGCAAGGGCTGCGTCATTACACATTAACTCCTGCACATTTTAAACTACAGAGAAGCACTGAATTAACGTAAACGTCAAAAACGTCCTCAAAACGGTCTTTTATATTTCTGTATGCAACATTTGCTAAGAATAAACCCTTTAGTCACGCTCTAGAAATTTGATGAGTAGTCCAGAGCAATAGGGGAATTGTTTTAGAAAATGCAAATAGTGTACAGTGCTATGATTACACCGACATGTGTAGCGCCTGCAGAAAGGGGAGTGTTAACTGTTTGCTGGTCTCTATTTGTAGATGATGGCAAAAATCAAAATAATACCTATGGGATGCTTGTGAATTTAATTTAGAAGAATCAAAGAACAAAGCAACCGTATACACAGCTCCTGTTTACAGAAATATATTTTTAACTTGCCGGTGGATTTGTAAGAGCACACACAAACGGGAATGCACACTAAGGACACACAGGAATATTTTAGGGCAAAGAAATCCTTATACAGTTATATCCAACAACACACTGTGTATTATTTCCAAAAATATACATAAGTTCTATGGAGTCACCCATTTAATTTTGAAAACCCATTCCAAATAATTGGGATAGAGGTTCATTCCAGGTAGCAAGGGAAGATGTTTGGCAGTCATGATCCTTTCAGTTACAATTCTTAAAAAAAGCTCTTATACAAAGCCTACCCAGTACATTAAAACTGAGACCTTCAGGGGGTTGCTGAGAGCTACCACCGAGATTCATGCATGATTTTCTTAGGCTCCCCTCTAACGCCAGTCTAAGATTAATAGATATGACTTCAAAGGATTGCTATCAACCTGCAGAATCAATCCAGTTCTGGACAGTTTCATCTGGAAGAAAGTTGCCACTCAGCAAGAACAAGCTTCGGCACAGGATCTGTGCTAGGAAGCCTAGTTACAAAATTCAAACGCCAGCTTTAGAAACAGATTTCATAATTTGACATCTTTCCCCACAAAGACGATCGGGCCAGAAACAGCTCAAAACCAACCAAACCGAAACAAACCCAAACAACAAACACCTGGAGAAATGGAAAAATGGGGAGAGAACAAACTCCCCAACACCACCTTCCCCTCCAGCACCCACCCACCCACTGCAGGAGAAAAATCTCCCTCCGGGGAGGGTCCTGGTTTCATTGGAAAAGGGTCTGGCCAGCGTGGGGAGGGGGAGCAGGAAAGCCCCTCTCTCGCAGCCCTCCAGGACAGCACTGCCCGTGGAGCACCAGCTTTCATGACGCTGCCAGTATCAACATCCCAAGGATTGAAACGCGACCGGCCGCGCCAGCGGGGCGTTTGAAATGCATGTGATTTCTGCTGGAACGGCTGCCTGCGTGCCTCGAGAATTATTCAAAGAGACATTGTGATCCTTTAATAAAGTCAGCTCCCAGATTAAAAGCCTTTATAAAGCTTAGGCTGTTTGAAGTGATTTACTTGCTACAAACAGCAGTTCAAGTAACTATAACCTCTGCGACTAGATAAAAATAGTTTTCTTCGGATTTACTTTGACAGGACTTTTATAACGAGTTTCATTATACTCACTTCCTACTTCGGTTTCCAGCACAGCAACAGAAGAAAGTTAAATGTTTTACAGTAAGGACACGCTTGTAAATCTACCAGCTGGATGAGAGGCAATACATGAAACTGCTTTAAAATATTTTCAGCTTATTAGATTCCAAGGTGCCAGTGGATATGGTGATATATAGAAAAACTATTTTAAAAAATCTGGTGTGTGATGTCTTGTTGTTTAGCTTTGTTTTTTTTCCTAAAAATACTCACACTGGTAGGTACAATTTAGCACTCTCTATTAATCTTAAGGATGTGTGACCACTTAAATCCACACAGAATATTGTTCAAAAGACAGATTCTCATCTTTTTTTCACATATTAAAGTAAGAACTGATGTATTTTACCATTTTCTTCCCACTCATGATTTGTTAAGTGTCAACTGCAGAGAATTAAAGTAAACACAAGGGTTTAAAAGTGACTTGATAAAAAGAAGTGACCTTAAACTTGCTGAAGGCATAATGAAAGAGACTGGAGCTCTTTGAAGCACTTTATGGATTTAAAGTTCAAGCACCGAGGAAATACCATCTGTTGTTAGTGACCTGTACCAGCTCATTATATCCAGCTCCACATCTTTATTTCAGAATTAAGATTACTCACACCTTACCATACACCAGGAAAATCAAGAACACTCCTCTCTTTCTCCTACCATCTTCTCTTCTTCAAGAAGCATTCATTAAAACGAAAAGCTTTCAAGAATGGGAAACAGAATACTCTCTCTGCACTTGCAGCATAGGCTACTGTGATGAAAACCCAGTTTAGAAGTTCAGAAAACACTATTCTAGGCATTTAACTAAAAAGTTTCCGAAGCTCAGACTTATCTTTAAATTTTCACCTCAAAAGCAACCTGCTTGAAAAGAACATGTCAAAACTGGCTGACAAGTGGACATTTAAACCTCTTCAGAACGAAGAGGTTTAAAACTATTAGAACTATTTGAAACCTGTGTCGACTTTTTATAAATCCTGAAGCTAACACAAAATCTGATGCTTTGGTGCACACTTTGGATTCAGTGCCATGCTTTTCAGCTCTCCTATAAATAACGGAAATGCTCTCATCTCATTATCAAAGTGAAAATGCAAGATGTAAACAAAACAACCCATAAATTTTCTAAAATGTTCTGGTCTAAAAATCCTCAGCGTTCATATTAGGGCATGTGATCTTTTAGAGAATATATTAAAACTGACAGCGTCTCCCTAATAGCCTGACTGCAATAACTGGAACAATGATACAATTTTGTTTTGACTCACTGATACTGCGTGTTCATAAAAGAAATGCACATTACAGTAGGATTGCTTCATGCTAAAGGGTGGGTACTGCAGACAAGGAACTTTCCCAGGAAGAAAAAAAAACTGTCTATAAGCAGCTACAAATTTTTACAAGCAGTCACTAATATCAAGACTTTATTTCCTCTAGCTTAGAAAGTCTAAGTTCCTGCTCCATTTCTTTTCACCAAAACCAAATGCACATACAGTAAGAATTGGTAAGAGCTGCATGAATCGACCGACTCTTACTCTATTTGTATCTTAGAATGATGAAAACACCTTTCAAGTTTTCAAGAAATCCTTTTGGTCAGACTGCTATAGCTATACCTCCCGTTTGGGTGGATGCTGGTTGGTGTCAAGGTGCTGGTTTATGTCACCCTCCAGTGATCAGGAAAAGAGAAGCTCTTGGTGTTCTCTAAGCTTCCCGAGACACACTAGAAAGCAACTACTATAAGGAGGAGGAGATTCAAGTGTAAAGAATAGAAAATCCAGGATCCTTCAGACGGCGATTAGTGGTTTTTATGCCAGCCACAAGACTACTTAGCTGCCTTCAGTGGCTTTTAATACAAGTGACACCGGACCCAAACCAAATTCAAATCTTTGATTCTCTTTTTTTTTTTTAATTAAAAAAAAGGAGAGAAAAATCATCACCCCACACCATCGCTATATGTATTATTGGGAAAAAAAAAAAAAAAAGGCAGAACACCACTCACACGAGTGCTGGCATTACTTGTACCACAGCACTGCCCAGCACCAGAGATGCCGACCAGGCCATTACGTTAACAACTATATAATGGTATAGAACGGTCCTCAACCTTCGAAATGGTAACACACAGCAGGACAACATCACTCCTCCCTCCATGCCCCACCAGCCTCAATTTAACCCACTCCCTCCGCTATAGGGGTGCTGATGGGCTGGGGACTACCCTGCTATGCGAAACACATCATAAAAGGATAAATTCCTCTCCCATGACAGGCTGAGAGGTTTCCCACAGAGTTTTATCTCGTTTATGCAGCGGGCAGTCGTTTCTTTCTCTTAAGAAAACACAGGCTGACTTGCCCTGTGCCACAGCTGTTGACTCTCTCGCAGAAATCAAACGGACACACCACAGCCAGCGTGTCAGAAACACCTCGGGGGGGGTCAGCAAGGGAATCTGCTTCGGGGAAGTGGCCTGGAGGAGCTGCCTGCAGAAATGCCGCGGGGAAGGGCTGCAAAAGTGCCTTCGCAGAGCCCCTCTCGGAGGTGAACTGTTAATATTATCAGCGGCCTCGAAGCGAGCGGCCCGGTTAAGGCGGCAGAGACGGGACTTTTCTGGCGAGTGGTGGTGATGGGGTGGAGGAGGAGAAGCCGCCTCTGACAGGAGGAGGGGAGTCTGCTAAGCACACACCGTCACCTGGCAGCATCTCCGCGCAGAGCAGCGCCGAGGGCAACACCACGGGCACCGTGTGGACGTGGGCCCGGGCGAGGGGTCGGCAAGAGGATCCCCGGAGGCCGCTTCCAACCTCACTCCCCGGCGGGACGGGCGGAGGAGGTCCCGCAGGAGCCAGGCGGGCAGAGGGGCACCGTGCGGGCCAGCGGCCGGCCCGACGGGAACGCTGCCGGGGGTGCCGGA